CACTCAGGTCTTTTTTTACACGGGGGATACGTACCGTGTAAAAAAAAAAACGTGTAAAAAAAACCTACGAGATTTTGATTTTTCACATGCTTAAATGTTTTTAAAAAATCAGATTTTGATGCCATTTGTAATTATAGCATGCTATGGTCCATATAGACATATTTTAAACATTTCTGTATTTACACCAAAAATTGTGATTTTTTTCTAAGTATGTCATTCGATTACCTATAGCTTGAAACGGATAATGTGATTGGAATCAAGTTGATATGTTGTATCGTTGTCGAGAAATCGTTAAAAACGTACCGTGTAAATCGCGAAAAACCGTGTAAAAATAACCGTGTAAAAAAAACCGCGTAAAAAAAAACCGTGTAAAAAAAGACTTCAGTGTAATTTGCACATACATTGTCGCTTTAATTCGACTGTTTTCAATTGCTTTAATAAAATGCTTTATTAGACGTCTTATAAATGTTTCCTAGCTCCATTATTAGATTTCATTGCATTGCTTTACAACATTGCTGAATAAAGATGAATACAGTCAGCAAAATAGCTCTTATACCATTATGCGTCCATGTTTTAATTGAATGCTTTGTAAATGCTTTATAAACGACGTATTAGATTCATTATTCCACAACACTGCCCAACAAACAATTCAGAGTCACAAATAAGCATATAGATTGAATAAATGCTTTATAATAGTGTAAAATGCTGAATAAAACGGGTTGTCAAATTATGTGCTCAGAAAACCTCATTGAGATCGATGATGCGCCTTTATTCCGCTGATTGCTCTGATTTGATTAATATACTTATTAAAATCTATACAAACGATGACTGTCTTCCTGATCCAACACCAGAAGTTTGATCAAATAACACACTGAATAAGTGTAATTTTCACATACATTGACGCTTTAATTCGACTGTTTTAAATTGATTTAATAACATGCTTTATTATACGCCTAATAATTGTTTTCTAGCTCCATTATTAGATTCCATTGCATTGCTGAACAATATTGCTGAATAATGGTGAATACAGTCAGCAGAATAGCTCTTATACCACTATGCGTCCATGTTTTAATTTCATGCTTTACAAACGGCGTATTCATTCATTATTCCACAACACTGCTTCAGGCTAACAACAAAACGAAATTGGTAGCATAGTGGTTACCGTTTCCGCATACCAAGTAGAAGGTCGCGAGTTCAATCCCAACCTCAACCCATTTTTTATTTTTTTTTCTACGCTTAATTAATTTAAATCGTAATCATAATATCACTTACGACACCCAATTCATCGATTTATCGAAAAGAATAGCCCAGCATCCTTTCCATTGAAATTAGAGAGATGGAGAGGTAACATTGGCCGCATATAAAACAACTATGAAAGAATTAATCATTCTCACATCTCCTTGAATTAGCTAGAGTTACGGCTGGGAGTGCTGATAGGTTTTCAGATTCAAGCTTTTATTACTTATTTAGCTGCCAATATGATGTATTATAGGATAGCTCAGATGGCAAGGCAAGCGGCTGGTGATCGGAAGGTCATAGTTCGAATCTCATCCAACGACATGTGTGTATGTATGTATGTAATAAGTTTTCTAATATCTGTGTGGTGGTGAGTGCGTGCTTCGACAGAATAATGACCAACCAATCACTAACAAGAACAAATCCTGCTCTATCCCGTTCTTATTTTCGGATTAATTATCCCATAGTTGAATAATCGTTTAATAAAGTATAATAGTGTTTAATTAAACATTATTGCACACGAGATTTCACATGAGAATCAAGCGTCTATATACACCTTTATACCACAGACAAACAGACATAACTCTTAGAAGAAAATTCTTCAAAAAATATCGTCAAGCGTATTTTGCATGCGCACTAGCACCATCTATCATCCACATTCCCAAGCATTGTTTTGCAACCGGAGCATCCCTCGTTCATGCAATTTTTTCACTAGTTGCTTTTCCCTCGTTCTGTCAACACGTCAGCTGTGTTGAATAAAAACAAAACAGATGGAAGTCAGTGATGTCGGTTCTACGAAATTTTCCGTAGATCTATAGAATTGATTGAGTTCTGCAGAAATACGGATCCGTTGGAAAAATTCACAGAAGCTAAGACTTTTTTTAGGGATTTGTTTTGTTTGTTTATTGTGCTTTTTCTTTTGCTGGAAACAAGTTTTTAAACAAGGTAGTGCATCACTTATTAGTGCCCTTTCTAAATGTAGCTGTATCAATGTAATATTCAGTGCTAACATTTGAAAACGGCGCAAAAGCGATTTGTAAACAAATGGTTTGTGGGCCCTTTACTCGCTACCCGAAGAACGCCCACGCAAACCAACAGCATCGTCAGGAAGGGGAAAATTTCCCCTACCCGATGTTGCTGTTGTGTCGCGTGGGTGTACTTCAAGTAGTGAGTAAAGGGCCCACAAACCATTTGTTTACAAATGGCTTTTGTGCCGTTTTCAAATGTTAGCACTGATATGTTTCAATCAATGATATTCATGGTGAAGTATTGAACATCAATATCTGGAAAATGTTGATAGAATATTACAGTTATCAACATGATTTGTTCTCGAATTCTGTGTACATCGAACAATGTAATATTAGGAACGGAATGACTAATGTGCAGCAGTTTTGATGTAATATGCAACAACTTTTTTTTTTGTATTCGTCAGATGTGGTAAGTGTCTCCAGTGGGATGCCTTGACCACTTATCATTTTCAAGAGCTGACATCTACTAACTAGACGTGAAAAAGAACTAGCATCACTGATAAGTTCGAAATGTGGTGGCTTGCTCAATGCATCAGTGGCGCCACCATGACAAATGCAAGCACATTCCCAACTAAAACATTATTTGCGATGAATTTAATTGTGAGTGTTATGTCTGTTTGTCTATGTTTATACCATCGCTAAGGAAAAGTAATGATGTCTAATAAACGCTGAATAATCGAAAATTTGATCGAATAAGCTCTGTTTACAACTCTTGTAAGTCGAATAAAAGCTTCTCGTCATACTTTATTCAACACCAAATATTTCGATGTTGTGGTTGAATAAATTCTCCAGATTTGTGTGAACAAAGCCTGAACAGAAGTTATTATTCAAAATAGTACAAGTATTATTAAGCATGCAGTTGAATAAAATCGTCAAGAAGTCGTTTCTTCAATAGGTAATTGTTTGTTGGGTAGTCAAGTAGTGAGCCATTTTAAAATCGTTGGTTTCCACCGGTTGGTAATAGAGCCGAGCCAAAAAGTTGAGCACGTTTCTTCGGGACCCCAAGTAACATTGAAAGTTTTATCGAGGTTTTAAAGCATGCTACAAGTTTAAATCACAGAACCGTCATAAAATCAAAATTGTTTCTTGGGACCTTCTGGTCTTAGAGTTACCTCTATGGTACAACAGTGTACTTTGTAAGTCTTTACAAGGTCTCACACAATCCCATTGTTGGATTCTTATAACCTTGGCGAACACAATCGCATCGGAAATCGCTTTTGGCACTACTTTTTGAATGCATTTATCTGCTGACACCGCTGTAGTAGCCAGCCTTAGCAACAGGAACACTTTCGTTGCATTGGTACAGGATTTTACCACCTCGAACCGTGCCTCCACGTTATCCCGGTCCGTTTTCAAGTAACAATCTTCTCCACAGCCGATTTAGATCCACGGAAGAGCTTCTCCCATGCCTGATCGAAGACCAGCTTCACGCTTCCGTCAATTTCATGCCAAAAATCTTGCTTTCCAACATGCACCGACGGATGGTTCGAATCGATAGTGTGAGCTCGTTCAAGATATTGAAACATCAGTAGAAGCTTATAAGCTGCAGTGGCTGTAAATAAGTGCCAAACAGTGCCGATGAGTGTACGCAACTCTGTTTTGGCACACTATGCGGTGGGTATTGCGTATTTTACAGACTCCTGTGCACAGTAATTTTATCACTCAGTCCTTAAAATTGAAAAATCGATTTATTTGAAAGCAGTAGCAGCCTTAGAACAGTATTGATATGCTACACTAATGAATTCATGCTCTACAAATCTTTACACTGAGAAAAAGTCAATGATTGTTTCTATGTGTTCCACACATAGATTTTTGCAATTAGATTTATGATATAGTTTCTATATGCCAGACACATAAATCTCACTTGCACATATCGTCTCTATATGTGATCACACATGCTGTTTATATGACACATAATCTGTATGTGTTTTGTTCCATGATATCTAATTATGTGTGGCCAAATGAATATTATGCTTAATATTTTATAGAAATTTTCTATTAGTTATGTGTGGATTTTTACTAGTGTAGGAAGTTCAATATTAAAAATATATTACCAGTCGAGTTACCAGTTTTAAGCTAATACGTGGAAATTCAGAGTATATATTTACACGATTTTCTTGCACTTATACTTATAATTTACCCAAAATTCTGCACTAGCACTTGAGCATTCAAAAACGCCAGAGAAGACGTCTATGTCCATTTGCCGATCAAAAATCGATTAACTTGATTCGCTTTCTACCGCTAACAGTGCGGTATTTGCCCAAGTACAATTTGTAATTTAATCTTTGAACTTTTGACTGTATGCATCAATGTTGGTAGAAAGCGAATCAAGTTAATCGATTTTTTGATCGGCAAATGGACATAGACGTCTTCTCTGGCGTTTTTGAATGCTCAAGTGCTAGTGCAGAATTTTGGGTAAATTATTGACGTTTCTGACGTTTATAACAAGCACACTTGCGTAGCCCCATTTTCAAGTGCAAAGTTTGCGAGAAAGTTTGTTATCCTCACTTTCGCTCCAGCCAAAAAAGTTGGTTTGATATTGTTATCCTCACTTTCGCACCATCAATACTCGTGCGCATAGAATGGACTATTCAAAAAGGACTTCAGACACGTCACATAATCTGCATTTTATAATCACCGGGTTTCGTATAACCTTGATTTTTACTATGTTCCTTGTCCGTTGATGAGATTGATGACGATCATTGATTTTGGTCAGTGAAAAATTTCTGTCACTCATTCTGTCATCACAGTGTCAGGCACGACCGAGAACTGAGTTAAAATTTGTCCAGAGTTATATCATCACTTGGTATCAACTATTTTAGGTGAATTTTAGGTAAATTACCAGCTCTTTTTATTAATAACCACTTTCAGTTTATACTCTTTACATCCAAGTACATGAACAACTAAAAATGTCTTGCAAATTGTCACGTAATAATGGATTTTATCTCTCAGACTCGGCAGGTCAACAGAACGATGGCTGCTAGACGATTTCTGTCATCACTTTTCCCGACCGTGAAGGCTCAGGAAGAGGACATTGTCGACCCACAGGGTGTTCTTCGGGTGGGTACAACATACTTCAGTTACTTATTGCAATATTGATTCATAGTTTGCACAAATTTTTGATTCCATTCAAACATAACCTATACCTAATCGTTTCCTTGTTGTGATTATTTCTCCGATTACAGGAGAAATGTGCCGAACACGGTCAGGCCCCACGATTGTGGGAAAAGTACCAGGCATGCAACGATCGCGTCAACAGCCGATCGAACACCACCGAGACCTGCGTTGAAGAACTGTTCGATTATTTGCACGAATTGGACCACTGCGTTACTAAGACCGTGTTCTCCAAGCTGAAGTAAATCCAGCAGACTTCACCTAAAGAAGCGAGATGCTGAGGATTGTTCATATAGTTTTATCATTACCTTATCGGAAGTTAATCGGAGCAGCATAGCAATGTCCAACAAATTGGTGAGGTCATAGGAATACCCCAATTGAGAACATGTTCAAACATCTCGGTTAATAAAGCCTCCTATCGGACAGGATTTGCGGTGTTTTTTTTTTCACTGTACACTTAGCAGGTCGGATTAGTAATTTAGATTCAGTTATTTATGAAGTAACGGCTGTGATAATCCACTACACCAGCGAAAACAAGTTCTGATTAATTGCATTCAGAATTTCAGTATAATATGCGAATGTTTGGAAATTGTTTTACAATTATTTATAAATACTCGAGTATAGGTGATCATAATATGCACGTACAGTTAGCTTACACTAATAACTATGCGACTACGTTTTCTTTTACCACGTAGTTGCTATGAAAATGATGAATAGAAATATCTTTTGCTTGCTGTTCGTCTATTGATTTCGTTCGCATCAAACAAATTTGTCTTTAATCAGTACACACAGAAGAACTAAACATGTTTGGCAAAATGTGTTTGAATCCACTTTAACTTAACATCGAATAAAGTAGGATTGATAAAAGAAGATTAAAAATAGAAACGGGAAAATTACGCTCCGCTACCGACTTGTAGCACTTCGAAGCAAACGCAGCATACTCGAACCGGTTTGTTAATTCCGAACTTGATGATCGGGACATCGTTGTTGGAACAGCGGCTGCACAGAATTCGGCCACAGTGGCGGCTGTTGGGCGAGAAGTAGATGATGGTGGTTAACAACTTCACTGTTCAAAAGTAGGTGGCCACTGGATTTGAGGAATTAAACTCCGGATATTCAACATATTTTCCCGCTTTTATATATGTTGAATCTATAACATCCAATAACAATAAATGTGAGTGGAAAAAAGGTACAGCATTTTATTTTAAATGCAGAACACCGGAAAAACAAGCTCCCTAAATTGAGAAACGAAACAAGTTTTCAGAATTTTTTAAATTTATTTGGGACTAACGTTGTTTCAAATTAAATACCTATGTTAAATAATTTAGATGATATTTCGAAGTCCAGAATTTGAAATTTTGTTTATGTCTCAGAATTTTTAATTTTTCCAAGATGTACATTTTCATGTAAATTTTTAAAAATATACTAAGCCAAACGCTATTGGGCCGAGTGAGTCAGTGGATCGAATTGTATAAAGTGATTGATTGAAATTAAAAACTATTTTAGCAAACAATGAAATTAACGAAATCTCACTTGAGATTCCGGACTAATAAATTGAGGCTAGGCCAGAGATTTCATACTTCGATAATTTTCACATCTCAAATATGGCGAAATTTTGGGCAAAATTTGAAGAACCGTCGACAGATCTATAGAGAACGTTTGAGATATGTATGTATGTATGTATGTAAGTAGCCACCATCCTAGCTTGGGTCTTGCCCTGCATGCGGCTCCACTCAACAGCAAGATCAAATTCCGTCATCATTCTGAATTCAACATACTGCTGTATGAAGGGCCAAAAAGGGTTGGACGGGCCCGTAAGCAGAGGCACTTACGCGAAACCCGCGGGAATAAGAGAATCTCCTTCCAACAATATGATCCAACAAAATGAATAACGAAATTCGCAATACATGTTAAGCTTTCCACGGGATGGTTTGTTTAAAAAGAGCGCGTCAAATTCATTGCAACTGTTGGAGTGGAATGTAACTATCTAAAATGACAGTACACATTCCCTCCTAGACTCCGGTTGGCACTCCACTCCATTGTCCAGTTACAACTTCAATGATGCCCTGATGCTCCCTCCCGTCCCAGTATTTATTGTAATTTACATTATGAATTTATATATAATCATGTAATATATAATGTATATAAAATATGTAGTAAAATGAAAAATATAATAAAAAAATAAAGATGTATAACAAAATACAAATGACCTAGATTATTGGGTCATATACACACACTTTTTGTTTTATGTGCCATGAAATGACATAATGCATCATTGTATGTTTTGAAAATATAATACTAAAGTATTGAATCAATAGACCGAAAATCGAGGTTATTTGGACATGAGACATTATATTTAAAAGGATACTACCAAACCGACCATCAAACGCACGAAAATGCAATCGAGAAATGTACAAGAACAATCCTCAACTGGAACGTACTCACCAAATCAATATATCCGGGAGCGCATTCCCGATGTCGTCGAACGGAAAAAAAAGGGAACTCATTGAGCAAATTAGTGATACGGAATTTTCACTGAAAACAACCACGAATTTCACCACATCCAACTGCGAAACACGTTCAGAAGCACTTTTGGTACACTTTCGATATCAATTTCTTTTGATTTATTTTTTTATTTTTTGCTAAAATAGTTGCAAGTGTACCAACATCAACACCAATCGTGCCAAGCTTTACACGCACCTTGCAGCGCGTACATAAACTGGAATTAAAATTTTCACTCGCGATGCCACAAATTTCTGGTCCGGGAGAAACAATCAAACCACGCAGCGCCACACCTTCTGATGCTTGTTATTTTGCAAACATCATGAATCATGTTTTCTTTCTCGATTCTAAAACTTCTCGGAAAGCGAGAAAACTACCACTCACACACGTATAACCGTCCGGGAGGCAGAGTGCCAGCGCTAATCCGGCAAATGCAGCCGAAAACTATGAAGGCGAACGCACGCACAAAACAGAGAACAAACACAACCTTATCCAAAGGGGTTCCGTGCGCGACTGCCATAAGACATGACTTATGAACTTGGACAATTTTTATTTCTTAAGATACTTATGAATTTTATAGGCAGGAGTTATGCATTTCATAAGCACGACTTATGAATGGTTATCATAATACATGAGGTACTCCGAGTGGTTCTTATACACCTTTAACCTATTCTATTTCGTTGCGTTGATAGACGATTCAACAAATCACGGAATCAATAATCTAAACGATCAGGATTCGATTTCGGTCTACTACATTTTATATTACTTTTTTTTAAGTTTTCATAAGCTAAATTTATGATTTCCATCAGGAATCTTAATTCACGTAAATTTCAGAATATGCAATTTAATCAAAAGTAACTTATTGGACTGAATTATATCTCTCGTTCCATTTTTGACAACAATAAAGAGTGCAAGTGAGAGGCTGAACTCAATATTAAGTAAAAAGAACTCAAATTTTGGGTATTTTTTTCTCCGTGTAGTACTGCACTACACTGAAACAAAGATAATAGTTAGGAATACTATTTTGCAGAAAACACTTATTTTCAGTATAACTACGTTTAAAACCGTTAAATCTACCATGATTTCAATATAGTTGACTATAAATATAATCAAATTTACTACCATTCTGTCAAAACTACTATGCTTACTCAAACGGCATAGTAGTTTTGATAGAAAAAATAGTAAAATTAAATGAATTTCGTTTCTGCAAAAATCTATTGGTGGGAGTATTTAATTTAAACTATCAATATAGTATTTTTGCCAATGGATTTTGTTTCTGTGTATGTTTGTTTAGATTCGCTACACTCAAAATAATGTTCACGTCAATGATACGTGAAAACATACGTAGATTTTTTTCCATCATACTTTTCACGTAAGAGCTTCGTGATTGTCATATAGGGGTACTCATTTAATCACGTAGAAGTTACATGAATTTGTCGATGGCATTCACTGGTGGATTCCAGTATCACATTTGTTTTTAGTTGTTTACAAAAGATTTTCTTATAAAATAAAATCAATTCTGTATCTTATAATTTTCTATAGAGAACGTTTGAGATATATAGAGGAATTCAATGATAGGGATATTGTAATGGGAACTGCAAAGAAATTTAGGTACATTTTAAGAAGAATAAAAAATAAATAAAGGATAACTAACTATTATGGGGGTATTAGTAGAATTCCAGCGAATAATAAAGCAAATCTGAAGGAATTTTAAGTGAGTTCGGAGTAAAATTTAAAATAAATTAACCTACGGCTACAATCCTGATACTAGACACTATCCTCCAATGATAGCATAATGCTGAAAATCTCGTAAATCTTAACGAAGATAACATCTCGGGCAACATATCAAGAAGGCTGGAAACGCTCTCGTTTTCACAAACGAACATAAGATAGGCACGACGCTCAAAGGTAAATGCTCCGAATGAATTTGATAGCAAAGATTCCAACCTCAAAATAAAGGTTTGCGTATTTGATCAGTTTTCAATGCGTTGCTTCCACCTTCTTTCTTGGGCAGTGCTACTGATGCTACTGTATCTGTGTCGTGGATTCTGGCAATATTGCCAGTCTTCTTGATATAATGTTTTCGCTCAAAAAAAAAATTAACATCAATCAGTAAAAGAGAATTCTGAAGAGAGCTCCAAGTCGATCAATAATAATTCTAAGGGAATATGATTAGCTAGTGAATTGAATTGACGCAGGATTACGAAAGGTTGTTTTGATGTCACATCAAAAGTATAGTAAATATAACTCATTATCAGTGAAAAAGTTCGATAGGTTGAAATTCGGAAGCAATTTGAGAGTTCTGTTTTTGAGGTGCTCTGTCGATGTCCATGTAGTACAAGCCAATCCTGGACGATATGTCTTGGGTTCAAGCTCTTACTCTTTAGTTAACTCGTTTATCAGTCATTTGTGGTCCTGAAAAGGACCGATGGGTTGGAAGCATGGAAGCCAGTTTAGAACAATGCTGTGGACATTTTTCCTCGATGTTCTTGGAGATGATAGCGGTGTATTAGGGAAAACACATCAATCGCTGAATCTTTGCATACCGGACGGTACCTACGTTTATGCTTTTTGATGCAAGCCCCTTCTATTAAGAGAATACGGCAAGATTTTTTTTGGGCTATAAATCCGAAATTTTTTTCTTTTGCTTTTTTCTAGCATCCTGGAGAAAACCTTACGAAATTTTTCTGGTTAATTGACATGGTCATGTGGTATTCGGTCAATGCGAGAATTTTTATGTACCACTTCAATACTTGAAGCATTTGGCCACAAACGTTTTGTTGCTGGGTACATTATCAAAGAGCTGGTAGCTGGCAGCAAGGCGAGCGAACGTTCAATGAAGATTAACTCTCAAACAACAATAATTTATGGTGGTCCGTTTGGGTTGAGTAATGCTGAGCTATTAGGGTGTTCAACACGGATGAGGCTGTTGTTTGGAACAAGGGTGAAGCGCTTGGCATAGATGGTCCACAGCGGCTCACGACGAGCAACTGAATCCGATCAGCGGTTGAGGGCAGCCGTGATGGCTAACTGCTAGCGGGGAGCCTTTCGTTGTGTACTAGAGAACACCACCACTCACCACACGCGGTGATTGAATAAACACCGTTCGGTGAGACCGGGTGGAACTCTATTTTGAAATCTTTGTTAGGAAAGGCGCTTTTCGCAGGCAATCGATGATAATTTTAATTATCATAGCAACGCTTACACATTAGTACATTTTCAATAGTGACATTTTGAAAAATGATAAATCCTCAATTTTAACAGATTTGTAGTAAAATTTCTAATAGATTTGCGTATTAAGAATTAAAATCCATCATCTCTGGATCAAAATCAGACCACTTTCATGCCGCGACCGACTTTGGTTTCTGAAAATGCTTTAAAAAGACATGGTATGTTAGATTTAAACATATGGGAACTGACATCCGATTGACGACCTAGACAAATGTCCAGAAAATACTCTTTAACAAAATCCTGATGAATGTGGGCGTCTTAGTGGAATACCTGTATAAAGAGAGAGAGAGATAAGGATTAGTAATTTCCATTTAATTCAGCACCTTATTTGCTTATCCTTGACAGATACGCGTATTTCGTCTACAATGTGCAGATTTCTTCAGTGTCTTGTACTAATACTCGACAGTCTATACATTGTAGACGAAATACGCGTATCTGTCAAGGATAAGCAAATAAGGTAGTGGAATTAAATGGAAATTAGTAATCCTTTTCTCTCTCTCTTTGTACTTTTAACAAATTTATGGTGGAGGACCGTTTTGTCGTGATGGTTGAGTAATGCTGAGCTATTAGGGTGTTCAACACAGATGAGGCTGGTGAGCTGTTTGTTGCTGGAATGAGGGTGACGCGCTTGGCATAGATGGCCCACAGCGACTCACGAAGAGCTACTGATTCCGATCAGTAGCGGTGCGGCTTCTTCGGTGAATGGACGCTCATGTGGGCTGCAGCTCGATGCTTGCGGGCAGCCTTTCGTTGTGTACTGGAGAACAATGTTTAGCACCACCCGCCGAAAGCACTACTGCTGCTGCTGCTGACGACCGACTGGACACCACCACACACGGTGATTGAATAAGCACCATTCAGTGAGACCGGATGGAATTCGACTTTGAAATCTGTGTTAGAGAAAGCGCATTTTGCAGGCAATCGGTGATAATTCTGATCACCATTGCAACAGTTAGACATTTGTGTAAATTTCAATAGTGACGTATAGAAAATTAATAAATTGTTCATTTTAGCAGATTCGTTGAAAAATTTCAATCGATTGGCTTGTTTAGAATTAAAATCCATCCGCTATTGACAGAGTTATAAATGTCAAAACATTTAGTAATGCGGTAATTTTTTGTTTTTTTTTAAATTGCACTCCCAATATGTTGCCGAAAGACGTAATCTTACGTCAAAAAAAAACTAAGTAGCGGAGTATATGAGATGCTAGATGCTCTCAAGAGCATTTTGAGGAGAAATACATGAAAATGTTGGGAAGATACTTTCTAAATTCGAAAGGGCATACCAATAGTTTTCTGACGAATATTCGGTCTGATCTAGGAATTTTTTGGGTCGAAAAATTTCTCGTCTCCCGTCTACTATTACGTGAATTCAATTACGCAGAGATGCAGACAATTTTTCTAGATTTTGTAACTTGACAAGTTTACAAAATACCAATATTTTACATAGAAAAACTTTTGATATAACGAAGCTAAAAAAAAAATCCCGATGGTTGGCATAGAAAGCTCTCAATTCAAGCTGAACAATGCATTAGGTCCTAAGTAACATTTACAGATACTCTTCGCCGACTTTATCTTTGCATCCTGGCCATGTTAAGACATTTCCAGCTATCTTCAGCACACAAATCGACGAATGAAGCTATTATCTAGCTGCTAATACAACAAAGACGACAAGACAAGGTTCTGTACCCAAGTTATTAACGAAAGAGACAGTCTATGAAGAGAATCGATCAATGTTACATGACCTAATGCATAGTTCAGCTTGAATTAATAACTGTTGAAGTGTGGAATACTACGTTGAGAGCAGACGAAAGCTCGTGCTCAAACGTCAAGGAAGAAGAATAAGAAGAGGTTGCATGGAACATCTTTTGTTATAGCACTTTTTTTCAAAGACGCATTTTTTTGCATCTCAAAACAAAGAAGAACCTTCTGCATGGCGGGAAAGGGTTGAATGCGCCAAATATTCAACTATTTTTTACGATTAATACTCACCAATGATGCTTTCGCAACGTGATGGCAGTAAATTTGGTTCCGCATTCCTGACACAGTTCGGACGAAGCCCACGGTGATTCCTGTGGTAGTTCATCCAACAGTCTATGCAGCAGCTGATTGGTAGCTAGTTTGAAATTGAAAATCGTCAAGCCTTCCTTGTTCTCCGCCCCCAGGCAGGCACCGTTTTTCACCAAAATCCGGCACAGCTGCGCTTGGCCTCTCATGTAGGCCAGAAGCAGCGGTGTATTGCCCTGCAGGTCGGGCGTATTAATCGGATACCTCGGCATGCACTCCAGGAACAGCTCCAGTATTCCGGCGGCTGTGTTGTCTTTTCCACAGCGACAGAGTTCATGCAGGGGGTTTCTACCTTTCAGATTTACGACTTCGGCGTTCAGTTCGGACTCGGTAAGCAGTTCGCGGACCACTGTGATATGACCTTCCCGGACGGCTAGGTGGAGGGCATTGTTGCCATCACCATCGACTGCATCAAAGTCGGCACCGTTCTGAAGCAGAGCCGATGCGGATCCAATGGTACCACGTTCAGCAGCAACGTGTAAGGCAGTTTTCTGAGTAGCATCTCGATCGTTTAGCCGGGCTCCAGCCAGAATGAGATTTCGTATCAGCATTTCATTTTCGGACCCTGCCGCTAGATGGAGCGGAGGTGTTTGGTTGACGTCATGTACGCGAGAATTGACGTCTACGTGGATTGACAGAAGGAACAGAACTGATTCCAGATCATCTCGCATAATGGCCAAGTGCAGGAAATTGCGGCCTCTTTGGTCCATTTGCTCTGCAGCGTTCGGCAGTCTTTCAAGGATGTTTTGTGCGGCCTTATTATTTCTAACTTGTAAGGCCGCTGCAAACGGTGTATTGCCAGATTTGTCCCGAATGTTTAGATCTATTCCTGGGTGGCACAGAAGAATACCAATTATTTCCTCATGTTGATTTTCGATTGCAACATGCAGCGGCGTCTTCAGATCGCAATCAACGGCGTTTACATTTGCTCCATGATCGATTAGAGTGTGGAGAACGTTCCTCAGGCCCCACTGACAACACAAATGTAGTGGAGAGGCCTTATCTTTAGTTTCATCTCCTCCTTGTCCTTGTGGTCCGGGCTGTCGTGGAGAGTCCAGGTCGCATCCACTTTTGATTAGAAATTGAGCGGCTACTTCCTTATTTTCATCGATGGCACGATGCAGCAGAGTTTGGAGGCAACCATCAGGACCAGGACCCCAGCAATCAGTATCGACGCCATGTTTAACTAGAACTGAAGCAATTTCAAATTGTTCAGATTCCAAGGCAGACCACAGAGGACAATCTCCTTTGTTATCTGGTGCACTGAAGGAAACGCCACGAGTACATAGTGCATCTACCACATCCGGCAAACGACAATGAATTGCAAGCTGCAGAGGGGATTCCTGATCTGCAGTTAAAGCATTCATGTCGGCTCCATGATTCAGCAGAAAGACTGCCGTCTTGGAGTCCTCTTTGAGAATAGCTTGATGCAATAGAGTCATATCTTGTCCATTACGGGCATTCATGTCCGCACCTCCCTTTATCAACAAAGGAACCAACTTGTTGTATCCCATGGACAAAGCCAAGCTTAAAGGCGAATCCCCAAGGGCATTTTTCAAATTGAAGTCCATCGCTTCCGCATGGTCAGCCAAAGATTCTATGCACTCAATAAAAGCCGTAATCACTTCGGCACTATTCGATTCCACTGCATAGTGAAGGGCAGTTTTGAGCTCGGCTACAACGGATTGCAAATTTGGCGAGGCACCCTTTTCTAGTAAAGCACGAGCCAAATTCGACAGTCCCTGCGAGGCAGCCACATGCAACGGTGTTAGACCAGCTTTGTTCACATGGTTCAAATTGGCAAACTCTGCCAGAAACACCGCGGCTTCTTCTAGTCTGCTTTTGGCAAGTGTGTGGATAAGACTGTCACCTGTTCCCGAATTGATGGGATTAGGTCGCGCTCCCTTTTCCAGTAAACGTGCAGCTAGATCGAATGGTGGTCCATCTATGTGGGGCGGCATAAGAGCAAACTGCAAGGCACATTTTTCCTCCAGTGTTCGGATGTTGGTGTCCAGGGTGAGCACATTGTCGCTGAGCAGTTCATCGATCATATCCACATGCTGAGAGGTGATTGCAATGTGAAGTGGTGAACTGAAAAAGATAACGGGCTCCATGTCATAATTCAATTCTCATTCTTAAAAAAATTAAAAACATACTATCCTCTAATGTTCTGAACGTTCGGATCGGCGCGGTGTTTCAGCAATTGTCTTCCGACGCTCAGCATATCGCGGAACGTTTCGGAATCAGTGCTCTTCTCGGCGTAGGTGCACACCAAATGCAGAGCCGTGTCCGAGGTGTCACGAGTTACCAGGTCGATATTGCAACCCTTGTCCAGGAGGAACTGCGCAGTGAATCCATCGCCTCGTTTGATGGAGTCGATCAGCAGTGTACAGCCCTAGCGAATTTAGATATTTTTTGTGTTATTAACATAGAACGCGTAAAAGTATAGAGTGAAGTTTGTTTACCTCTGAAGTAAAAGCGTTGATATCTGCTCCGCCGGTCTCCAACAAGGTCTGAGCGATTGCCGTGCTTCGACCCATCAGAGCTAAACCTAACGGCAGCTGCCCTTGCGGTGATAAACTGTTCACTATTTCGGATAACTGAAAAGTACAGAAATAAAAGACGATGAATGAAAAATTTGAATATCTTAGTTATCTATTTTTCTAGGAGATTCTGCAATGATCGTACTCCATGGGGGATCGATACGTAGGGTCGTGATACTCGTGATCAATCATACTATTACAGTAGTGTACATGATTTTGGGAACAGTTATCGCTCAGCTTCTGAGACGCGCGGACGTGTTTTTCTTGACGTTTTAGCGCTATTTCAATAGTCAATAGTTGAAGATATTTTTTAGCTTTGCTATCCGTATCGTGCCGCGTCGCGTGTGCAGTGTCCGCGATGAGGCGTGAAAACACTTTCAAGATTGACTATTCGAGTTTCCCCGTGAAGCCGTCGTTTGAGAAAGTGCACGGCTTCTGCCGTTCAGTGCTCGGCCTGAAGAAAGAAGACGTGCAGAGACTACAGTGCCACCGCGGTGGAGCATGTGCTTTCGTCAAGGTCAATGACCTGGCGTTAGCACAAAAAATCGTTGACAATCATGACGAGAAGCACGAAGTTGAACTGGACGGAAAGAAGCACAAGCTTCGTATTACCATGGAGGATGGTAGTGTGGAAGTGAAGGTGCATGACCTGCCCGAAGACGTGTCCGAAGAGAAAGTGGTAGAGTTCCTGAGCGCGTTCGGTGAGGTGCTATCGATTCGCGAGCTAATGTGGGGTGAAGGCTACGATTTCGGTGGTATTTCGCTCGGCATATGGTCTGCTCGAATGCTCGTGAAGAAAAATATTGACTCGTGGGTCACCATCGACGGCGAACGAGCGCTTGTCGTTTACAAGGGACAGCTTCAATCCTGTCGCCACTGTCACGAGCAAGCGCACACTGGCATATCATGTGTCCAGAACAAAAAGCTTCTGGTCCAGAAGAGCTACGCTAACGTGACGAAGCAAACGGGTCCACGACCGCAACCAAAACCAGCTGGTCCGAAACCAGTCAAGCCGAAACCTACCGCACCACCAACGGCAACGTTGGGTGCATTTCCCGAATTGCCGAAGCAGACGGACACGAATGCGCAGAGTAGTAGCCAGGCCGCAACAGCTGTAGCGTCCCTGTGTCCGCAACCACTACTAGCGCAAATGTCGTCGTCGCAACGAGTGCCATCGGTAACTGCCCAACCAGCCAACACCAGCACGGCTACGGTTGACCTGTTCAAGAAGCCCCCACACGCGCTGCGATCGCAGAGCAAGAGCGGGAATGGCAACGAAACCGACGAATCTTCAACATCCACGAGTAGCAGGCGGGACAGGGCCGACCGCCGAGCAAAGAAACCGCGCCGGACCAGCGAGGACGAAGAGCGGGGTGGAGAGAAGCTCCCATAAATGGCTCTCACATCCTACAACGTTGCTTCCATCAACATCGGCACCATCACGAACCCTACAAAACTAAATGCGCTCCGAACCTTCATCAGTAGCCAAAACCTCGATATTGTGTGTCTGCAAAAGGTTGAAAATGAGCAGCTCTCCTTGCCTGGCTTCGTCGTTTTCGCCAATGTAGACCACATGAGAAGAGGTACAGCTATTGCTCTGAAGGACCACATCCATGCCACTCACGTCGAACGAAGTCTGGACGGCCGACTGCTTGCGCTGAGAGTGCAAGATACAACTATCTGCAACGTTTACGCTCCCTCCGGCTCTTCGCAGCGCGCAGCTCGGGAGGATTTCTTTAATGGGACGCTTGCCTACTACCTCCGTCATCGGACACAGCATGTGATTCTGGCTGGTGACTTTAATTGTGTGCTGCGAGCATGCGATTCAAGTAGCCCCAACACAAGCCCCTCACTCAAAACAGCTGTGCAGCAGCTCCAGCTGCACGATGTGTGGGAAAAGCTTTGTCCACGCGATACAGGCTTCACCTACGTCAGCAGAAATGCTCAATCGCGCCTCGACCGCATTTATGTCAGCAGCGTTTTGCGCGATAATCTGCGAGCAGCACACACGCATGTCTGCTCGTTCACCGACCACAAAGCGCTGACACTCCGAATATGCCTCCCCCAACTTGGACACGAACACGGCCGTGGATTCTGGTCACTTCGGCCCCACCTTCTAACTGACGAAAACGTTGGGGAATTCCAATATAAGTGGCAATATTGGACCCGCCAACGCAGGAACTACGGGTCATGGATGGAATGGTGGCTCTCGTACGCTAAGCCTAAAATAAAATCGTTCTTCAAGTGGAAATCTCGAGAAGTTTTCGACGAATTCTACAGCGCACACCAGCGCCTCTATGCGGAGCTAGGGTTAGCGTACGACGGGTATTACCAGCACCCAGAACTGATAACCACGATCAATCGATTGAAAGGGGAAATGTTGGCACTGCAGCGTAATTTCTCCCATACGTTCATGCGGATCAACGAAACGCACGTGGCGGGGGAACCACTGTCGATATTCCAGTTGGGGGAGAGGCGGAGAAAGAGAACCGTCATCACACAACTGGCCACGGAGCAAAATGCAAACATCGAGGAACCGCAAGCGATCGAGACGCACTTGCTGGGCTATTTCTCCGAGCTCTACTCGGAAGAAGCAAACGGTGGAGACGACAACAGCTTCGTTTGTGAGAGAGCCGTTCCGCCGAACGACCCACTGAATGAAGCCTGCACGAGTGAAATCACCACGGCAGAAATTCTGTCGGCAATAACAACAAGTGCTCCCAGAAAGTCTCCCGGCTGCGACGGCATCCCGCGAGAGTTTTATTACCGCATGTTCGACGTTATCCACCGAGAGCTGAACCTGCTGCTCAACGAAGCGCTCAACGGCAATCTTCCCGCCGCATTTGTGGAAGGCATTATCGTGCTGGTTAAAAAGAGAGGAGGAGACAACACGGCACGATCCTACCGTCCGATCTCGCTGCTCAACAGCGATTACAAACTGTTCTCCCGCATTATCAAGACCAGGCTAGAGCGGGTGATGAGAGCCCACCACGTGCTGAGCGATGGACAGAAATGCTCTAACTCCGAGCGAAACATCTTCCAAGCCACCCTTGCTCTGAAAGATCGGATCGCCAGTCTCCGTCACCATCGCCGTGCCGGGAAGCTCATAAGCTACGATCTCGATCATGCGTTCGATCGGGTCCGGCACTCATTTCTCTTCTCGACCATGCGCTCCCTCGGATTCAACGAGAATCTCATCGCTCTGCTGGCACAGATTGCCAATCGCTCAACCTCACGGCTGCTCATCAATGGGCATCTCTCTCGCTCTTTCGAAATCCAACGCTCCGTACGGCAAGGGGACCCGTTGTCCATGCACCTCTTCGTGCTGTACCTCCACCCACTGGTGGTCAGACTCGAGCAAGCGTGCGGAAATGATTTGCTAGTGGCCTACGCGGATGATATCAGCGTCATCGTCACATCGGTCGGGCAAATCGAGGCGATGAATGGTCTGTTCACTCGCTTCGAGCTAGCCGCCGGCGCCAAACTGAACTTGCGGAAGACTATTGCCATTGACGTTGGGTTTTGCGAAGGCAACGCGATCATCACCCCATGGCTGCAAACAGCGAATGTAGTCAAAATTCTGGGTGTTGTCTTCGCAAACTCAATCCGCTTGATGACGACGTTGAACTGGGATGCACAGGTAGGGAAGTTCGCGCAGCAAATGTGGTTGCACTCTCTACGGACACTAACGTTGCACCAAAGAGTCATCATGCTGAACACGTTCGGCACCTCCAGAATATGGTACCTGTCGTCGATACTGCCGCCCCTTGCCAAGCACACTGCGAAAATTACATCAACGATGGGTACCTTCCTGTGGAGAGGAATGGTGGCCCACGTCCCAATGATGCAGCTTGCACGGAGCAGAGAAGACGGAGGACTGAAGTTGCATCTACCAGCACTAAAATGTAAGTCGTTGGCCATTAACCGGCACCTTCGTGAGATCGATTCCCTTCCTTATTATAGATCCCTTCTGCTCCACGTAAATCCCCGCCCAGCAATCTCTATAGATCTTCCTGACCTCAAAATAATCCTATCTAGTTTATCCCAAATTCCCCACCAAATCCAACAAAACCCCTCCGCCGATCAAATCCACCAACATTTCGTTCTCCAAACCGACCTGCCAAGGGTGGAACGTAATAGCCCGACAACCAACTGGCCGCGCACGTGGCGCAACATTGCGGCGAAGCAGCTCACTTCAGCGCAGCGGACGAGACTGTACCTCCTGGTCAATGAGAAGATCGAGCATCGCAAGCTATTTTTTGTGATGCAGCGTGTGGCGGACGAGAACTGCACACATTGTGACAACCAAACGGCGGAAACTCTCCTCCATAAATTCTGCACCTGCACTCGTGTTGGCCCGGCTTGGACGGTCCTGCAGCAGAGGATAACAGGCATTTTGGATGGATGGAGACGACTCACATTTGAAGACCTGGTGAGACCTGCCTTAATAGGAATAGGAAATACGAAACGTGTGGAAATTCTTAAACTTTTTATTAATTACATCTGCTTTGTTAATGGAAGTAACGGTAGAATTGATGTAGCTGAGTTGAATTTTCATCTAGATATAGAAAACTAATTGTAAAAACACTGACAATAAAAACTAAACTTTTATAATAAAAAAAAAAAAATTACAGTAGTGTACATGATTTTGGGAACGAGTCCGAGAAGTTTTAAATGCACAACGTGCACTGTTATTAGGCCCGGTGAAATTCGAGAAATGTCCGAACCCGAAGGACTTCAAAAGCGGGATACTTGAAGTGATGGTCCGGGAGTAGACGAGTAAAAATCTAGAACATATTGACTACAAGATTGTAGAGCTACTGAGGCCGGTAGCTGGAGCGCTTCAAACCTTGCATTAGCCAAGCAAAATTCTCTAGGATATCCAAATTTTTCAAGGACCAACACTAAATTCTTTAAAAATATAGTTGAATTATAACTAACAATATTTTATTATTGATTCAAAAGTATTCTGTGAATATTATTTCAGTCCTAAATATTGTTTAAATAATCGTTAAATATTGTTGTTGAATTTAAAATCCATTTTTCAGCGTGTATAA